CTTGCCAAATGCTTCCTGAAGATCATGATATACTAAATCTACACCCTTATCCTCATCTACATAAGCAGTAATATTTTCAAAGAATGTCAAAAGATTTGTTAGGCAAAATTTTCCCTTATTGAAACCATGTTTATTATCCAATCAAATTCTAAACTTTGTTAAATGACTTTGCAAAGCATCTTTTAACAAACTTTCCAAAACTTTTCCCACAACTGATGTAAGACTAATAGGCCTATAATTACCGGGACAATTTTATAACCTCCATTGGAAAGAGGCTTAACATTAGACAACTTCCAATCTTCTGGCATCTGCCCACTATTCAAGGACTTACAAAAAATATTGGAGAAATATTATCTAGCCCATGAGTCTCATCGTTTTTTAGTCTTTTTTCAGTCTTGTTCCATCTATCAACTATTCCAGATGAGGAATATTGTTTAAATTTTTTCATTAATATAACTGAAGAAGAAGAAGAAGCAGAATTTAATAACCCAGCCATCTCATAATCTTCAGATACGAGCTTTCTTTTATTATTCCTCAAAGGTCCTACTCCCATCTTAATATTTTGTTTACCCTTAATGTATTTAAAGAAATCCTTACTGTTAATTTTTATATTTTCAGGATATCTTTTTGTTTGTTTTGAATTTCGCGCAAAGCTACACGAGGGCTATCTGCGCTAACCGTCCCTAATTTAGCAGCGTAAGACTAGAGGAAAGGCAGCTAGTCATCACCACCCACCGCCAACGCTTGGGCTACTCTTTTACCAACGAATAGTGGTACTGACTGTCACATTATAACGCCCCTACGGCTGAAAGGGCGAGCATGTTTGGCGGGACGGGGATTCGAACTTGCGACCCTCAGATTGCGAGTCGAGCGCCGTAACCACCTGGCCATGCTGGGCCCGGATATCTTTTTTCAAACATCCTTTTTGGTGTCATAATTTCCGGCTTGAACAACTTTCTTGATCTTCTATAATATTCCCAATCTCCCGTCATACCATTCAATTTAAATTTCTTAAATTTGTGATGCTTTTATTTAATTATATCCCTTATACCCTTTGTAAGCCAACCTGCAGCCACCCTTTTCATTCTACAAGGAATATGTATATTTTTAAAAAAATTCCACGTTTAATTTTCCAAGTAACTCAGCTGCCCAATTCACAACAGATAATTATTGTTGCATCCCTTCAAAATTTGCTTTTTTGGAATGTGTAACCAAAATATCATTATTCCTTATCTCCATATGCAGCAAAACGTCGAACCTAATGGAGCACTGATCACTTGCACCCGGATGTTCTCCAATTTCCACCCTCTCAACCATTTCTATATTAGAGGTTAACAATAAAACTAAAATAGCATTGTTTCTAGTAGGTTCCTTAACCAATTATTGAAGAAAACTATCTTTGAAATCTTCCAAAAACCTTTTCTCCGCTTGGTTTGACTAACATTTTCCAATCTATATGCCTGAAATTAAAATCGTTCATAATTTTGACTTCATTAACAGATGAAATCTCAATCTCATTGTAAAGTTTCTCACTAATTTAATCGGTATCATTTGGTGGTCTATAACAACTTCCCATTAAAACCCTTTTCCCTTTATATCCACTAATAGAAACACAAACGAATTCAATTTCCTTGCTATTATCTTTGATATCCTCAATTTCAACAGGATGTAACTCACATTTTATATATAAAGCCACTCTTCCTCCTCCCCTTATTAATACTCTATCCCTATTAAATAACCTATAACCTTGTATATCAAAGGCATTTCTGCCATCAAAATTGTCTTCCGTTACTTCCATTATATAAAAAACCCCATTCCTACCAGAACTCTAAAGTCATCCATTTTATTTCTCATAGTTCTAGCATTACAATAGTAACAGTTAATCCTACTCTTAAAACTACTTTTACATAAGTTCCTATGCTAAAATTTTCTCTACATACTATTCTTTCTGCATTTAGTTTATCCTGCCCCTCACCACTGTCTAGTCCTAGTTTCAACCTTTACTTACAGCTGAGTTAATAGCCCTTGCAAACAAGCCAGCCCTTACCATATTTAAGTATCAACCATCCATTCGAAAAAGCTCCCTTCTCCCACTGAACTGATCCCACAAGCCCAACCAGCCAATCTGTTCATCCTTACATATTAACCTAAGCCTAGCATCCAGCCCTAGTGACCTACTTATAATTTCATCTACACAATCAATTCTCTGACACAAGTTATGGCCCTTGTCTTTAAATGCCTTTATCAGCCCCTTATCTATTAGCTCCTCTGGCCTGCCTTTCCCTACATCATTAACCCCTATGTGAACAACAAAGACTGCATTATTGCTAGTCTCCTTTATTATATTTCTTGCTCTGTCATTTATATCCTCTAATTGTGCCCCTGGGTAGCATAATATAATTCTTTTCTCCCTATTTACTGATATATAACCCTATCTTTATGTTTTATCAAATAATAACCTATAACTATAATTTCCTTAAGTTTATCCTTTTGTTTTCCTTCCCTCCAATAGTTCATTATCTGCACAAGCTTTTTGTTTGTTATGGATTTCGCGCAAAGCTACACGAGGGCTATCTGCGCTAGCCGTCCCTAATTTAGCAGTGTAAGACTAGAGGGAAGGCAGCTAGTCATCACCACCCACCGCCATCTCTTGGGCTACTCTTTTACCAACGAATAGTGGGATTGACCGTCACATTATAACGCCCCCACGGCTGAAAGGGCGAGCATGTTTGGTGTGACAGGGATTCGAACCCGCGAGTCGAGCGCCCTAACCACCTGGCCATGCCGGGCCCCTGCACAAGCTAAAGGCTGAAATCTGTTGCTCAGTAGAATAGGCTCATTACAGTTAAATCCACTACTTTTAGCCCTAATAATACTGTTTCTAACTTCCTGAAAGTCACTGTTAGCTGATGTGTCCCTTACATGTAAAAGATTAAGCTCCTCTTGAAATCCTTCTGCCATTTCCCACAGTATATACTGCTCTTTATATATTGCCTCTGCTTTAATTATGATAATTTCCCATTTCTCCTACAACTTGCAAACTCTATAAACAAATTGTTCATCTTCACTGCTAGATTTCTTATATATCAGTCCAGAGTTCCCAAATAAAACTCACCCATTGCAATCATACCTAACAAACTGTGAACGCTTAACTCCTACACTAGTCTTAACCATTGTATTTGTAGCCTGGGAATAAATAAATATATATAATTACTAATTTTAGAAAATCTTAAATTATAAAATCTCTCTCAGTTATTTTAACATAAGATATCTTCTGGTTCATCAGCTATTATATTTTGTGACACTTTAAATTTCATATGTGAAGAAAATTTCGTATATGCTTAGCCTACCAGAAGTTAATAGTACAAGTTAAATAAGGTGTATCGTGATATATTCATAGAAAAAGAAATAACCAGAGCATCTCAACTTAATGTTTAGTTTAGAGTGTCCAGCTAAAATATTACATACATAACCTACGAATCACAGTTTAAGGAAAAAAAAGTTTGTAAACTTCAGCCTGGAATAGTTCACTTGGTTCTAACTTACAAAAGACATTGGTGTTTGCAATTAGTTGTCTAAATTTGTAAACATTCTATTTCAGTGTACTCACACAAGTGGCTTTTCCTTGAACTATTATTAAGTAATTCATATTTTTTGCTTTGTATTTTTAGAAAAAAAGTTACAATATTTTTAGACATCAAATTATGAGTAAAAATACTTTACATGGTTTTTCAGTTTCTCTCTCAAATGGCAAATCATTCCAAGGATGGTAACGGTTAACATCATGCACTTCTTATGACAGAGGAATGATGGAAATCCTTGATTTTGTTTTACCTTATAGAATAAACATTGTAATATTTTGTAACATTTTCACATGTCCATCGTTATCTGGAGATAATTTGCTGTCACCTACTTGATCATAATGAATGATCAATAAGAACTGGAAATTTAAATAAATTTAATTTTGAAAAAAACCCAACATTTTAATGTAATAAACATCAAGTCGAGTAGCTGTTTCTTTTTTGAAACGTGAATATTAGATATAATAATTTTCTATGTGAATTTAAAATGTTCTAAACATAAAACTTTCACTCTTGTTTCTACGGTGAAATGCTATTCCAGTTACCTTGATTTGTCTAATTATAAATCTCAAGCTATAGAACAAAATAATATTTTTCAAGAATACCGTAAAAATGTAACTATAGACACACGCTGCACATTTTATTTTCATTCAGTTGTGGATACTGAAGCTCAAACCATAATGATATTTATTTATTTATTTTAGCTATTTGTTACATATGACAAGGCTTAGCATGTTTAAAAGTCGAAAGATATGACTTTTCTTTTGGTGACTGGTATGTGAATGAACAAAAATAATTATTCGTACAGTTTAATATTACGTTACATAAATATTTTTAATGACAAAAATTCCATAGCTAAAATAAAATTAAGTCAGAGATAAAAGATTTAACCACAATTCCATGAAAAAGGGGAGTTTACAAAGTAAACATGAAATAAGTTTTACAAAGAAACAACACATGGGTTATTAATATTTTTTTAGGCTTATAACATGTCTATGACCACGTAATTTGTCTCTTCGAATAATTTTAATAAACAAGTTTTGAATACTATAATTATATTTCTAATAAATAATAATCTTATTTAATAATGATTTCCGTTGAAATCAGAATAAAATACTACCAGTGCTACATGTCTTAGCGTGCACGAATATATTTGAATTCAGTAAAGGTTATTTACAAAAGTGGTAATTCATACATCGGTGTTAAATTGTTGAGATGCACACAGAAAATGAAATAAGACTCAGATGAAAGGGTGGTTTTAGGTAAATTACACTTAAAATGATTTCTGAAAGAGTTCTTCATAACTAGATTAACGTAATTAACATATTATTATCATATATGTAATTATGCATTCATTATGAATTAAACAAACAAATGAGACAAAACTCTGGAAGGAAAAAAATTACAAATTAAAATTTATAGAATAAATCTTGTGAATGTTGAACTTTGTACAGATTAATAGTTTTATGATATTAACGTTAAGGAGAACCAGGGCATTTCTTAAATAAATACTAATTTATTTGTTAGCAAGTTCCTGGATCCTTTGTCTGGCAAGATGATATATAAATAGTGAGTTGCTGAATGTAACCTTTTGTCCGACAAGGGCTTCAGTAACGGTGCTGAAAACTTGGTATTGCAATTTTCACCTGAATGGCATCTTATACGATACATGTGCTAACGGCCAGGTCAGAAACCCCTAGGATTCAGCTATAGCCATCTCTAATTTAGAACTACTGACCAAACGATATAGGGGCTAACGGACAGATAAGAGACCCGTAGAATTCAGCTATAACCATATCTAATTTTGAATTATTGACCAAACGATACAGGGACTAACGGACATGTCAAAGATCCCTAGGATTCAGCTATAGGTTTTTCTGTTTGGGAAATCAGCCTTTTAACAGTCCCATCGCTACTATGGCTTTGTCCGGCTTTGAAATAGAGTAACGGAATTGCTGTCGCTCTTATAACACACCCACAACTAAAAGAATAAATCGTAAACCCTTTGATATACTGGCAAACACGGTAACCAATAGGTCTCGTTCCATATTCCCAAAAAGGAGGTATTAATAAATGAATTAGTATTTATATGGAGAAATGTTACTTTTCTTTTAATGTTATATATTTTCATATCATATGTATCTTACAGGAATTTGTTGAAAATTAGGTTCTATTTACACATTGTAACATGTTTTTCCACCTCATCAATTATCTGAGATATTTTTGTTTTCATCGGACACCTGAAATGTAATGCATATGTCAAAACACTATATTCGAATTGTGTGTTCGGTTCATGTATCATTAGTGCACTAAAGGAAATAAAATTTGTATTAATAGAATTTCATTTGTGATTTCATAAAAAGTAGCCCTCACAACATTAGTTGACAGATAATATGATAAGCAATTATGAACTGTAGTTACATCAAAATATAAAAAAAAGAAATAGAGAAAAATATAATGATATACAACCGAAAGATGTCAGTTTTTTCTACTATATCATAAAATATATATCATATATTATAATGTAGCATATATATTATAAATCATTTTAGAAGATATGTGAATAACGAGGCATTGTTTAAAAAACTGTTGATACTCTATGATTTTCTGGAGAATTATCATTAACCTTATGGCTGAAACTATTTTTTTTCCTTGGAAGTAAAAAAAAATGAACCATGAGGCCGGCAGAGGTTGGTATTCTATAGATCATACGCTAGGTTGAAAATTTATAATCCCACAGGGGATTATACAAATATACATTTGTAAATATGTTATAAAAGCTTAGGCAAAATACCGAATACATTATCACAATTTATATGGCAGATTCTCGATTTCTCTCGCTGTCGTCAACACTAGTGCTACTGGCGCTATAGATCTGAAGTTCAATCTCAGCGAGCCTGTTTTCTACTTCCCATTGTGGCTGGCTATGTTTCCTGCTCATTGAAGCATTCTCAGCTTCTAATGCTAGAAGCCGTTCACGGAGATGTTTGATTTCTGACAATAACATGTCCTGATGGTATTCACCGGAAGTATGGATGCTGATAGGACTTGCACTTCCACTGCCTCCTGCGATTGGCGAAGGAACAGAAAGGTGGCTCGAGTGCGATGGAGGACCACCAAAGAACACTTGGTCTGCGCTAGTGGAGCTGAGCGCTGAGCAGTCTGTCATTAGAGATCCATTTAGCATGTTGAAAGCTGGGGAATGGGCAAAATAGGAAGAGGTTGGGCGGAGACAAAGTAGTTTGGAGTGAGATATCCCTTCTAGTCCTTGTTTTTTATCTTTAGAATCATCAGTGGTAAAAGAACAGTTAGAAGTTGCTCTCGGGGACTGAGGAATATAAATAATTGAAGGTATTGGCCCCAAGGACTCGTATTGGGTAAAAGTTTTGTTACATGTTTCTACATTACTTATTTTCCTGCTACTAGCTTTGCTTGCTGAACATGAAGGAACAAGAATTTCGGTCATTTTCTGAGGAACATCATCCGCTAGGAGGTATGACGTAGAAGCGGAGGGATCACGTGGATCTACTTGCATTTCTTCAAGGGAAACTCTGCCGCGGGATTCGACCAGTCCAGGAGTGCTTCTACTTCTTCCCATGGCAACTATTAAGAAAAAAAGAAGGAATAATTAAAGTATTGAGTTAATGTGCCGATTGATTTGCTACTACTTTCAGCATTTAATTGGATTTAATTAATGTTGCCGATTGATTTGCTACTACTTTCAGCATTTAATTGGATTTAATTAATGTTGCCGATTGATTTGCTACTACTTTCAGCATTTAATTGGATTTAATTAATGTTGCCGATCGATTTGCTACTACTTTCAGCATTTAATTGGATCTAGTTAATGTTGCCGATTGAGTTGCTACTACTTTCAGCATTTAATTGGATTTAGTTAATGTTGCAGATTGATTTGCTACTATTTCAGCATTTAATTGGGTTTAGTTAATGCTATCGATTGATTTGTTACTACGTTCAGCATTTAATTGGATTTCATTAATGTTGCCGATTGATTTGCTACTATTTTCAGCATTTAATTGGGTTTAGTTAATGCTGTCGATTGAGTTGCTACTACTTTCAGCATTTAATTGGCAAATGTCAGCTCATATTTCTACGTTGGTATGTGATCCCCTCTGTTCGCCATTTTTTTCGTTTTTGCATGGCTTTTAATGAAAACAAAAACGCAATATAGCATATGTGAATAATATATAAAAATTAATTTATATAAAAAGTTCTTACAAACATCTTTCTGAGGTGATAAAGTTTCTGCCTCTAATTCTGGTTCTACTCTCATTACCACTGGACTAATCAACCAGTTTCTTTTGCCAACAGATTTTATTATTTTTGAAACACATATGACGAATTAGTATTCTAGTTCTATGGGAATTATTTGGTGTTACCTGTACTTTAAGCTTCTGTGACAGTTAATTATCCTGTTTTTTACTAAATAACAGATTTTTTAGATATAGAAAGAATTAAATAAAGAACAATTAATGTGAACGTGTCAATTAAATCAGGTTTGCTTGTATTTTAGGACTTGCCGCGCAAAAACTACATCCTAATTTTGTACTGATAAACTAGAAGACAGACATCTAGTCAACAGCACCCACTACCAGTGCTCGGACTTGTCTTGTTTGACCGAGTCAAACTGTCATGACTGTCACTTTCAAATAGTAACTTCTGCTTCAAAGTGCGGAGCGAGTTTTGGCGGCAACGGGACGCGAGCCATAAACTATCAGATTTACAGTTCGGGCAACTAACAACTTGACCACTCCCGGTCCTCGCCTAAATCTAGAAATGTTTGCGTGTCTTTGATTTTTTTAAACAAGATTATTGATTATAGGATAAAAATTAAAATCACGATATAAACAAATGATTTGAAAGGATTGGTTGCTCATACTACGCAGATAAAAATTTGAATAATATTTCTTCGCAACTTCTCAACAAAATCAGATTGGCTTAACGCTTTCTAAAAATGTATGAGTGTTAATACAATGTCAAACGTGATTTTCGGTATTAAAAAAATCTTGACTTTTTATACCTTAAATTCTATCATAGCCATTTTGTTCAGAGAAGCCTTCGTAACAGTTCGATTTTATACTTAGGTTATAATAATCGCGAACACAAAGTGTTGACATTATCTTGACTCATAGGTAACTATAAAGAAACTCAGGAAAGTCTTATGTCAGCGCGAACAGGAAGAACAATATCATTATATTTTTGGAGGATGACATCCAACTTTGTGTTGATAATCATTATCAAGATAATGTTGATGAATGACCAAACATTTAAGGTGGAGTGAAAGCCATTAATCATCTGATTACCTAAAAAAATAAATGTTTCCATTACAATATAAAAGTGGTGAACGCAACCAAGAAAGGCTGTGAATGCGAACCGTGTCACAGTACTTCAGAAGTCGATCAATATGAAACACTAAAACTAATATGTGTTCAAATAGTTTTCGAAAAATTGAACTTTGTGAAACGCTATAACGCGTGTTATTAATTTTCTATAAGCTATTTTAAACTACAGTATTTAAAATACATAAATGTTTACTTAGATATTTCAAATTTTATATAAAATAAATATAACTTTTTACCTAGAATCAACCAAAGATTACAAACAAAATATATTTTTTGTTTTAATTTACAAGAAAAAAATATTAGGGCAGTTTTTTCCTTTTATTTAATTTAATTTCAGTCGAGAGCTAGTAAAATTTAATTTGCGCTTTTATGAATCTGAAACATTCCAATGGCATACATAGCTTTAGACATAGTTCTAATGTGTATTCAAAAATTGTCATTTGTTTATTGTCTCATTTAAAAATGTGCAAACCTTAGAGTTTTGTTTCCCATGACACGAAACTAGACACGAGTTTGACAGTTAAGTTCTACTCTGTTGAAACCTTCACAGTTGTTTCAGGGAAATAATAAAACAGATAAGTACGTGACTTGCTAAGTAAAGAAAATGGATACCTGGTTTGCAAGGAAAAGGAGAATAATAAAAGGTACGCCAGGTAAAGCAGATTTATACAAGATTTACCAGATAAAAGCTTCCGCTCATTTTCATAAAATGAAGAAACATCGAAATATCATCAACTCAAACACACTTCCATTTACATTCATCGGACGGATGGAGATCTAAAGGATAACATTTCGACACGCTTCCGCTCGCCTTTCATAAAATGAAGAAACATCGAAATATCATCAACTCAAACACACTTCCATTTACATTCATCGGACGGATGGAGGTCTAAAGGATAACATTTCGACACGCTTCCGCTCGCCTTTCATAAAATCAAGGAGATCAAAACGTCATTGTTTCGAATTTTCTTCATCCACCTATATCAAAAGGAAGAAAGTCGAAACACAATTTTGACCTGCTTCCGCTATTCTTCATGCAATACAAGTCGAAATGTCATCATTTCGGTATGCTTGGTCAGAGTTAAAATAAGTCGAAACGTCATGGTGAACCACCCACCCATAAGGAAGTTCAATCTCACATATCATGAATGGACAAACAAATGATGCTTATAACGTAAAAACAAACCAAAATGTCTTTAATACCAGTGTTTATTAGCCAGGCTCACGTTATAAAAATTCTGAAACACTATTTGTAGTCGAGCTGCCAATTATACCACACTTTTTTCAAGGAAAAAAGTTGGTTTCAAATATTAGTTCTGAAATCTTTAAAAGCCAGTTCACTAATATTATTCTTTACCTGTTACATAGCTTCATGATTTACACACCGAAATTGTAAACTGTTTACATTAGCCCTGAATTATTAGACAGAATTTCTTTAATTTATTGTTCTGGTAATGGTTTTTTATAGAAAAAGTTTGGAATTCGGGTACTATGAAGTACAGCTTCCTAATGATTCACTTTTTAAATCTGAGGATAGTTAGTGTTTTGGTATTCTTTACATTCAACGTAAAATTATATCACATTATAATATAATTTTCTATGGTGGATTTCTTCAATATTGAATTATTTTGTTTTGTTTTCTGTTTTTTTCTCAGTATGCATTACTTTTTCTCAGTTTTACGGTCTTTTTTATGCATATTTCAGAGAAATGGGTGTATTTAAGCAAATTGATTTTGTGAAAGCTCCTTTTTCCTATCTTGATGTTTAATATTATTTCCTGTTGTATCTTAGAAATAGATGAGGTGACAGCAGATTCTGAGTTTAGGTTGTTTGTTTTGTCTTTTTTTAAAGGGGAATTAGTCGGTTGGATAACAAAAATAAGTCCAATTGATATACTCTGTGATACACTGTTATTACTGTAGAAAATAGATACTGAAAAAAGTATAAGGTATCTTATTTTATAATTAAGTTGTATACGCAAGTTTTTCACTGTTTTTATGTTCAGTATTTTCATTCAATATTGTTAAAAATGAAATGTTGAGCAGTAGGAAGGAACCTAACAAACCATTTATTCATCTCTTGTTCCTGAAAACCCATGTATCTATCTGCTTTACCTGGTAAATCATGTATAAATCTGCTTTATCTGGTAAATCATGTATAAATCTGCTTTACCTGGTAAATCATGTATAAATCTGCTTTACCTGGTAAATCATGTATAAATCTGCTTTACCTGGTAAATCATGTATAAATCTGCTTTATCTGGTAAATCATGTATAAATCTGACTTTATCTGGTAAATCATGCTATAAATCTACTTTATCTGGTAAATCATGTATAAATCTGCTTTACCTGGTAAATCATCTATAAATCTGATTTATCTGGTAGACCATGTATAAATCTGCTTTATCTGGTAAACCATCTATAAATATGCTTTATCTGGTAACTCGTGTATAAATCTGCTTTACCTGGTAAATCATGTATAAATCTGATTTATCTGGTAAATCATGTATAAATCTGATTTATCTGGTAAACCATGTATAAATCTGATTTATCTGGTAAACCATGTATAAATCTGATTTATTTAGTAAACCATGTATAAATCTGGATGTCGAAATGTTAACGATCTTACTTTTGAATTGAGAATAGCACGACATATTTGTCGTTAGAAAACACACAAAACCTGTGTTTATATCACTACAGCAACCAGTTGTGTTATAGTTCACACAAGCCTGTGTTTATATCACTACAGCAGCCAGTTGTGTTATAGTTCACACAAGCCTGTGTTTATATCACTACATCAATAAGTTGTGTTATAGTTCACACAAGCCTGTGTTTATATCACTACATCAATAAGTTGTGTTATAGTTCAAACAAGCCTGTGTTTATATCACTACAGCAACCAGTTGTGTTATAGTTCACACAAGCCTGTGTTTATATCACTACAGCAATAAGTTGTGTTATAGTTCACACAAGCCTGTGTTTATATCACTACAGCAATAAGTTGTGTTATAGTTCACACAAGCCTGTGTTTATATCACTACAGCAATAAGTTGTGTTATGGTTCACACAAGCCTGTGTTTGGGGAGTATATTTTGTGTTCTTCTAACTATTATAATTTACAATACATTTTTAAAATTTCATACTCTTAACAGACATGCTTTCGTTGAAGTAAGAAAACATTATACCTAAATATTTCTTCTGTCAATTTAGATCTTAATAAGAGATTGGGTAACTCAAAAAGTTATCATCAATATTTTATTTTAAAAAACGCTTTCTGTGAAAAATATAGCACAGTCTATAACAGTGGTTCACAATCTTTTTTTTGAACTGAGGACCAGCTAGTTCCAATCCCAAAATTTATCGGAACGCTTCGTTCAATATTATACTTTTTAAAGTATTTATATATCACATTGTTAAAAATATACTTCAGAATCTATTTTTTTTAATACACATTTGTTTTCAACCGTTTTGCGGACCACCTGAAATATCCCTAATGACTTGCATTTAGGAAATATTGGCCTATAAGACCTTAAGCTTTAACAGTAGCGGGTTATAATTAACACCTTTTATGACTGAAGTTTGATTCTCACAAAGCTCTTCTGTGCCAACAACTAGACAATCAGCAAACTGTGTAAAACAGGCCCTGAAGAAAACATTGATTTTTTAAAAAAATGTGCAGTTTGTGCAGAAATATATAGAAAATTTACTACATAGGTTAGAAAATTAAATTAGAAACCACAAAAAAGAGAAAAATTGTGTTTTTATCTTCTGTGAAATTTTGAAAAAAAACAAACAAAAATTAAACATTTGTTAAATCGAAAACGTGACTGAAATATCTGATTATTTTTACATACTATTCGTATATTCCATCTCAAAAGATGGTAGTAACCAATCCCTTACCATCTTTTATAAGAAAAACGGTAGCCAATCCTGTTTGTTCTTGTTCGAGGCTTGTGGGTTCTTGGAATCTTTCCGACGGCGTGACTTGTCCTGCCGATTGAAATAGTTTTTTTTTATAAACTCAATTTTTAGAGTTCACGATTTCTCCCCTGTATCATCAATACAACGTTTATTTGTTTCACGCATATCAGTGCTATTCAGCTACTTTAATCATGTATGAAAATTTAGTAAAGTATTTCAGTAATATGCATTGAACCAATAGACATTTGTTCCTTATTTACAATTGAAGATACGTGCGCGATGTATCTTAATTTATTACATTAAAGTGGCCGTTAAACTCATTGTAACATATTCACTTAGTGAGTCGTTTTATGAGTTACAACAAGCTCCAGATATAGTAGGTAGTGATGTAATTTTGTAAACACAACTTTCGAACTTTTTTAAAATATTGTTTTCCTTAAAAGCGATCTTAAATGTTTACTTACAAAATTACAACTCATCTTACTTTTAAAAAAATGTTAATTTTAATGTGGTAAACTAAACGAGGCAGAAATGATGTAAAAAAAAATCAATTACATTTTTTGTTAATAGCTTCAACAGAACGCATCATTAACTATTTCTTGTTATTAGTGATATGTATTACATTCGAGTACATAAGCTAAATTAAGTCAAAAAACAACACAATTTTGTCTGGGTTAGTGAGGTTATTAAAATAACAGGCATGCGCACAGATACATAGACATGACTTGTTTGTTTACGAATATTATGGCAAAGCTATTCAAGGACTATCCTATCTACGCTACACGTTCTAATTTTGAGCTCAAAGACTAGAAAAAATCCAGTTTGTCAATAGCACCCAACCCCAATTCTGGGGCTACTTTCGTCTAACTGAATAGTGAGATTCTTTTATCGTCACCCTTATAATGAAGCTTGGGCCCCAAAATACGAAGAAAACGATCACTAGTCCACCACGCTAGCTACTGGGCCACGCTCTGCCTACATAGACCTAACAATGCGAAAATAAATTCAGAGTGGTGGGAAATGAAAAAACGTTATACAGCAAAACTGACAATTTCGCTTTTATACAAATAAATAAACAACACACACATTTGAATGTATCTTGCAAAAAAACAACAACAAAAACAGCATATTTTTCACATGAGCATTGCAAATATAAACTAGTAACAAAACTACATAACTAATAAATAGACCACGAGAATTTGTTTGTATGAAGTTCAGCACAAAACTCTGTAAGTCCGTAGACATACCGTTGTACCACTGGGGGGCAGCCATGAGAAAAGACAACGAACGACAGCTAATTTTCAACAGGATAAAAAGTTAATTCATATAAAAATTTAAGACGCGAGAAATCATAGTAACAAATATATAAGTAAACACATCATTGAGAAGCTATCAAAAAAGAAAAACAAGCAAAAGATCAGATTAAGCAAGTTGAAAGGTTTATTGTGATTTTGTAAGAGAGAATTTAAATTTAAATTTGAGCACCTAGCTTTACTGCGAATTTTTTAAAAAAGTTACCATTGTGTGCTATTTAATTTGTTAGTAGTATGTAAAAATATATTAAAATTAATATACATATGTTTAACTTGCAGTAAGTTTTAGAAAAAAATATTTTATTCCAGTTTTATTTAACCGAATACACAGCAACACGATGGACATTAAAATTCCAGTTTAAGTGTATCGTTTAAACACTAGAATGTGCTAATATAACACTGTAAGAGTTAAACTAATCTGAGAGTTAATGTTATTATGGAGTGTCAAAATAACGAATGTTGATTTTACACTTTCCATCGTTCAATTCTAAAAACTGTTGCCACACCCTCCGTCACTGATGCACGTCCTGGATTGGATGAAAAGAAGAACATGCCGCCATTTTATGCTTCGCCTTGCCGTAACGAGGGAGCGTTCGAATAGATAAATGAATAATTTATAATTATGTGAAATAATAATATAAATTTTATTAATAATCCAAGTGTTATGTACTGCCTTTTCTTCAATCCACAATTATATACATTTTATTGGAATTCCAATTGTCTTTCGTCTCAAACCAAAAGACCTAGGTTAAGCATTGGGTAGCTAATTATATTGTAATTATAAAATAATTTAAGAATAAAAGAATAAAAACACAAACATTGGTTTACTTGATGTTTTAAAACCGTCGCATTTATTTATCAGGTTGATAACTTGTGAATCACAGTTTTTTTATCACTCTGGGGCTATTCCTCTCCCCCTCTTTATTTGTTAGTTATGTATCTGACGGTATCCAGGTTTTTTGTTTTATTTAGCGTTCTTTCATTACTGAGCATATTTGCAAAGTCTATACGTTGTTAAATACAAATCAGCCTCAGTTTTGTTCTTCCCGCTATTTTTTTTCAGTTAGGGCATACATCGTGGTGTTTAACCATCAGCCTGTGTGTCACAGGTTATCTCTGATGGCAGTAATCAGCATCATTAAAACCAATAAACGGACGGATAGTTATAGTTTGAATATAAACAGTTAACTGTTTTAATGAATTGTTTTTGTACTTAACTAGGTCAGATACGTTTACACTCCATTTTTTAACTATAAAATATTTTATAATTGAAAACAAACATTAAGTATTTTTATGCAGGCATTGTTTTGTTTTTACCTTATTTCTCCTTCAGTTTGCGTTTCCACCTGTTTCATAAACGTTAAACATACATTTAATAGGGTTTTTTTTTTTACGAATTTACCGTGACCTCTTACGTTTCTCTTGCAGTGTTATCCGTATTTTTAGAATAGCGATTTTTCAACTTAAAAGTTCAATTAAATATGCTGCAGGAATTTGGTTATTCGCGTGATTTCATGTCCTAAACGCATTTTGTTTTAGAATTTTAATGATACTTATAAAAGTAAAGCACAAAGGGTGCCAAAAATATGTGAATGTCAAAACAGAAATGTGAAAAGTTAAGCTACAGGATAGTAAGTAGAGCTAATGTATTATTATTAGCAGTTGCAGTAGTGTTAGTATTATTACTATTATCATATACGTACTCATATTTACATACATATTGTAGAATTACAATATAAAAAAATATAAAATATACACAATATTATATAATATACTAATTGTGTTTGCATTTTTTCCCCAGTCTTGCTTGAATGTATTCTATCTTTGTTAAACAAGTGGTACTACTTGATTGGCCTAGTGTATTTTTGTAGTCCAATTCAGACACATGCTTTATTGTCTGTAACTAAGAATGTATTGGCAAGTTATAATAGTTAGAATGGTAACTGTTGTTATTATAAAATACCCAATAGTGCAGCATACATTTTTCAACAAAGCATTACCTTGTATATATTATTTATTTTATTTTTTATTGCTATCACAATAAATCTACATTTCTACATTAAAATACTAATCCCGTGATCTAACTGTCAATTTTACTATTATCTGTCAGTGCTCCAGGTTCTAACTGTCAGTTTTACAAGTATCTGTCAGCGCACCAGTTCTAGATTCTTCAGTTTCATCTGTTGCATCTGATGGCTCATATGTCACTGTCATTTTAGAAGGAAAAAACAAACAAACAAGGCTTATGTAGGAAAATTAGGCTCGTGGGCAAAGCCTGTGAAACTGAACAATCAAAAGAAGTAGGTTTAATAACACTTTAACTATGAGGCTGTATACATTGTTTAAAAATCTAAAAGCTCTAGCATAAAATTATGAAAGTAAATAATTATGTAATCCATAAATGGGTTGTACTATAACCATACTAACAGCATGTATACTTGACACTTTTCTTGATTTAACATTTAAAGCATTTATTTTTTATGTTTTACATACTTTTTTTTTCCAGACGGGTAGCCACATGGTTAAGTGTAAAGCTGGTGGTAACAAAGTTATGAATATAAAAAAAACCAAGTCAGAGAAACAGATATAATGGAACTCGGTTTGTGCATTCTGACAATTAGGCCTATAAACTGTCATGTCTTACAGTGCTGATTGCATTGTTAATCATCTCACAAAGTTAACACAAAAATAAATTTAATAAAGGTAATATTGTGCTTTATATTTTCTACTGGAAAATATTTAAAGTTAAAATTTTACCAGGTTGTTATATTTTGTGATATTTGTTAAATGTGTATATGTTATGGTTTATATTTTCCACTGTAAAACACTTGAAGTTCAAATAAATAAGAATGGTTAAGAATGGCTTAAGGGCTATCTGTGCTAGCCATCCCTAACTTAGTAGTGACAGACCAGAAGGAAGGCAGCTAGTGAGCACCACCCACCACCAACTGTTGGGCTACTATTTTACCAACAAATAGTTGGATTAACCGTCACATTATAATGCCTCCACGGCTGAAATGGCAAACATGTTAGGTGACAGAGATTCGAATTCATGATTCGCAGATAGCGAGATCGAGCGCACTAACCACCAGATCATGCCAGGCTTAGCAAGAGTGATTTGAAAAATCAGTGACTGTTTAATTATTTTAACACGCTGTTATTTTTATTATATTTATTAAATGTGTATACAAGCACATGGCGTGCTTTAAAACAACTGTATACATATATGGTGTAAGTATAGTATATAATTTAAGGGCAGTAAGTGACTTTTTGATTCATATAGGCTGTCACATCCACCATACGAAATTCTAGAAGTATAAACACTCAGATTCAGCGTTTATCATTCAAATATCTATCAAGCCTTTCCTTAAACTCATTTAAACTTCCTGAATCTACCACATGTGAAGGCAACTTGTTCCAAAGGCCAACTATCCTGTTAGAAAGATAATGCCACCTTAGCTGAAGATGACTCTTACCCTGCCAAAATGTATATTTGTACCCCCTATCCTACCATTCTCTTACAAGTTAGTTTTTGTAACACTTCAGACTGTTGGTTTTTAGCACCATGAGCAAGTGTTAATGGAAAACAACAACGACAAGTGTTACTCAGTATTGTTTTTAAACACTAACTAGTGTTAATATAACTATATAACAGAATAAAAAAATAACTAATATCTTCGAAAGTGTAATATTAATTCCGTACAGATTTGGACAATATTTTTACCACGGTATTGTTGGTTTTTATTCTTTTAGAGTTAATCGAACACTGATTTGTTTGTAGTAAGTTTGTACCAGATGAAGCCTTTTACTGACGAAACCGTGGTCGTAATAAATGAGCTATTTGTAAAACGTACAACTGTTTTTGTTTTCCTCAACTCACTAAACGTGTGCCATTTTGTAGTGTTGCTTACAGGAATAAACAAGTAATATGTTTTGTGTCTCATTCTAAGCTATATAATGAAGCCTTTTACTGACGAAACCGTGGTCGTAATAAATGAGATATTTGTAAAACGTACAACTGTTTTTGTTTTCCTCAACTCACTAAACGTGTGCCATTTTGTAGTGTTGCTTACAAGAATAAACAAGTAATATGTTTTGTATCGCATTCTAAGCTATATAAAACGATTTGTAATTAGTTGTAACAGAACAAGATAGAGCGGCAAGAAATTACTTACTTTTTCTGAGGGGATCTTTTCTGTATTTTTCTAACCTTTTGACAGCGATGGCCTCCAGCCTGACACGAGCCGCCGGATAGTCTTTGAGAACGTCCCACATATCGTGTTTGTATAGGCAGAAAAGGTCAGAATAACCAACAGAGCGTACAGAAGCCGTCCTGCGATTTCCAGCAGTGCCCATATTAAGAATACTTATTTCACCAAAGTAACTCCCTGCACGGAGCGTAGCTAGTACCGTTTTGCCGTTGTCAGTGACAACCTGAAGTCGTCCATGGTTAACAATGAACATTTCTTTTCCTACTTCTCCTGATTAAAGAAAAAAAAACATCTTTGTTTATGACTCATAACGTAGTTAAATTAATATGTAGAATTATAAACGGACTTTTCTCTACGTTAAATACTTTTATTGCAAGCTTTCGTCCCTCTTACTGGAGCTTCCATCGGGCAACAATTAACAACCCATTGTTGCGATGAAGGCTCCTGTAAGAGGGCAGAAAGCTCCCAATAAAAGTATTTTAACGTAGAAAAAGTCCGTTTATAATTCTACAAAAAAAAACATCTTTATTAGTTTAATTTGTCAAAGTTAACTGATGAAATCATCTATCTATCTTCAAACTTAACTGATGCAATTATCTATATATCTAATGATTGTTAGGAAATGAATGATTTCAAACTCTCCCCTGTAAAACGCGTTTCTGTGTAAAAGATTATGAGAGGCAGCGCATCTCTGTCTATCCACCAAGCTACTCCTATGATGGTTTTAATTAAACTGAAATTACAAGAGCTTTGGCACAACATTACCATACGTTTTATTTACCATGTTGGTATAAGTAATACAACCCATGCAACCAAGGTATTCGTTATCTCTCACTCACGCAGTTAATAGTAATTAAATAATTTACATTGAGATTTTAAAATAAGAGTAAATTACTACTAGTTAATAACTTATTACAACATACCTTTCCTACATATGTAGTCTCCTGGACTGAAGAGCACGGGTCTTAATCTCAACACCAGCTCGCAGAGAAACCCTGCTTCTGTATTCTGAAAGATTTCCACACGTTTAAGCGTATCTAAGTGCACGTGAATGGCTATTTCAGCTTTAAGTTTATCTGGAAGGCAACCCACAGATCTCTCTTCGTCGGATGACTTTTGTGTCATCCATAAATAGTCAAACCACTTGATTACCTTGTTTTGTAGGTGGTCAGGAACTCTGCGCATGCGCATATAGGTTTTGACTGCATCTAATTTGGCTGGAAACAAATAAGGAAATCAGAATACTTTTCATAATTATAATACTAACTACTGTTTCAGCTCGGAAGAAGAAATAGTATGGAGTAAGAGTATAATGTATTCCTAATTAACATTTTTAAATATATAGAACAAAATGAATATATACATTTATATATTGTCGCTTTACAAATATGAAAACAAGTAAGCTTATGTACCTGAATGTGTCGAATTTTATTTGTTGAGGTGCAAAATACTTGAAAAAGCCTAGTTAATAATGTGAAAACACAAAAATCGTTAGTAGGAAGGTTGTTCGCCACTTCTTTGAACATAATTTCCTAAAACATCTCTTTCTTTCATACGAAAATATTATTCTAAAAGAAAGAAGGTTGGGCAGCTAAAACGGTTTATTAATGACACACACACACATATATACACAAAAGTTATTGGGAGAAAAAAAAACAAGAGGTAAATGTAGTAGGAACAGTTTTATTGAGAGAAATAATAGAGAAAACAAATAGAAATGGTTAAAAGTAATAATTACTTGTTCTGTTGCTGTGTAGAATTAGGTTACAACCAATATCTCCTGAATTATCAGATGTCATCCAGTCAAGGAATGCATTCCTTTATGAAGTCTTCCCACTGCCTTTATAAAAGTTCGAAGAAGCTTAAAAATTACTTCTTCTGCTGCTGTGTAGAATTGAATTATCAGATGTCATCCAGTCAAGGAATGCATTCCTTTATGAAGTCTTCGTGTACAGAAAAGACAGACAAAATCGACAATAGATTCACAGATTTTGTATGATGAGAGCAGGAAAAGGCCAGTTTGTAAGAAGTATTAGCAAAATATATTGTAGAGGAATTCTTCAGAGTTTGTATTTCTGTGTGAAAAGCAACGTATACAGAAATACAGGCAAAATCGACAATCGATTCACAGATTTCACTGTTCGGTAACCAATACTTAAATTACAACAAGGAATAACATTTAATTGCTCCTATTCATCTATAGTGAGAGGTAAATTATGAGTTCATTACAACTGCCTAGGCATAGACAGCTATATGAGTGTGGTATTCAGGAAAATATTAAGCATAGAATAATTTTGAATATGGATAGCAAAATATAAGAAACAAACACAAGTAAATGAATAAACACAATCTTTACTTTAACGCTGAGGCTTTAACTTGTATTAGCCAGCTTATATATTTGTTTTTATAACTAACTACTGGAGCTACCGAGTACATTTCTGCACGAAACGAAGAAAAGAGAAAGAATAATAATGCTATACTTTCAAATCATACAAAAGACATATTTTAGTATTTCACAATTCCAGGTCACCGTCAGCAGCAATAATTCCCATTCTACATTTAAGGGTGATAAACCCCAGAGCATACTTGTAAAACTCTCTGAACCATTCCTTAAATTGAGTACGATCATACTCTAGGAGGATATGACACAGAAACAGGGTCAAGCAAGTATAAGGTTTTGCAAAACAATCGCTGTGGTACGTAACCTTTTCTAGAGGATTAGCGCATATTTATAGCCTTCTTATATCCTAATGACAAAGGCGCCAACTAACTACGTGCAAAACACCTGCAAACATTTTAATGACAATTATCAAAACATATCTAAATAAAGATAATTATGTTCTTTCAGAATATGAAAGGGTGAAATCTAGATTTGTTTTTCCATACGCTAAATGAGAAAAATATTTAATTCCATAATTCAAAGTGTTATATTTTAAATATGTTTTGAAAACGAAATGAGGCAAAGAAGGCCTTCATATTTTTGAAATAAATTTTGTGTTGCAAGGCAGAATCGGAAATGTTTTGACCTTATCAACATTTATAAAGCTAATAACTTGCCATTTTCGATATATATATACTTTGATTTCTGACATAACATACGGACAACCGATCATATGGTTTTTCAAAGTTGTACTTTCATACACACCCTTGATAAAAATGAAAAAATAAAACCCAACCTTTATCGTTTAGGAAGTCATCAATTCCTTCGTAAGCTCTTGTAAAGTGCTGGCCTCAACTCATTCCTTAAGCCAACAATTTTTTTTTGAGTTAACAGGGCCTGGTGGTTAGAGTGCTCAACTACAGGTAAGGTTCGAATCCCCGTTACCGAACATGCTCGCTCTATCAGCCGTGGGAACATTATAATCAATCCCACTATTCATTAGTAAAAGAGTAGCCCAAGAGTTGGCGGTGGATGATGCTGACTAGTTGCCTTTAGTCTAGTTTATCACTTCTAAATTAGGGACGGCTAGTGAAGATAGCCCTCGAGTAGCTTTGCGCGAAATTCAAGACAAACAAACAAATTACTCTTCTAGAAAAATAAAACCGCTTTAACTGGAACTTAGCATGCCTTTTCCAAATCTTAAACTTGTAACTTCTTGTTCCATAATCTTCAAAATAAAGTACAAAGAAATCAGAGGCCTTCATGTTATCGATCCCCACAAATAACCTTGTAAACCGCAATAAGATCACCTCTTGTTTTTGTTTTCTCAAGATAAAATAATTAATCTAAAGCTATTCATATAAGATAACCATTCCATCCTCGGAATAAACTTAGTAGCCTTCTGAGTCGTCTGCAATAAGGATACCAAAACTGTACACAGTATTTTAAGTGAGGCCTAACTATTGATTTGTAGTGAAATAATCACCTGTTTTGACTTATAATTGATATAACTGCAAATACACTCTAAAATGCACTAACGTTACTTCTAGGAACAGAGCTCTAACTCGATCGCCAGAGTGACTTATCCACCACTGTGCCGAGATACTTTTTTTTCATTCACACTATTGAGCAGGTTCCCATCTATATTAAATATGTGATCGGAGTTAAGATAATCCAAATGCATTACCTTGTACTTATCGCTGAGTCTCCAGGGGGCAAACAACAACGTACACCATGTTTCTGGTTACATATACCTAATTGCTAATTTAAATAATTTACTAATGTGTTAAGTTTTCAGCAAACATTGAATAATAATAGCAGCAATAATTTAAACTCTGGAGACACAAAAATTCTCCTTCTTGCTTAGTTAATATTATTGTTAATTCTTATTTCAATCTAATGTTTAATAACTTTACTATTTGATAAGTTAGTACTAGTAGTTAAGCCTAACGATCTAGTCTGTATCTGCAGTGATAAAACGTATAACTGTTCAGTTGTAACTAATCTGACTAAAATACAGTAAAATAAGTACCCTAAACCTTAATCACTTTAAATTAATACCTATTTTCTCCTGAAAAACGTTAGAATCTACAATTATAAATACTTCTAATTCATCTGTCTCAATACTCATAAATATTTCGTTCTTTAATCTCAACAGCTCCCTGTTCACTAATACGGTGTTTTATCAAAGACACACACTCGTTTTGAAGATGTGAATATTGCGATTAGGGACAAGCTAAACTAGAATGTCTGGCCAATATAACATATCAAAAAATTCAAAAGGCCATATATTTCCTCCACTCTCGCGTTCTCAGTTTACTGTTCACCTCTCAGTTATACTTACTTCATAGAACAGTTAAATTATAAAGACAATTGGACTTCCGAAAATCAAAAACATGTACTAATAACCTAAAAAGTGTCACATGTTTATTGTATCTGTCACGTTTTCACAGAATGGGTAGATAATGAAAAGTATTTTGTACTGTGTAATTGCACAATCGAATACAAGAACAAAATAACTGCATCTCCAGAAAAAATATTTTATGGATTATTTTTCATTGTTTCTCTTTTTCTCAAGAGTGGTAAGTTACGTGATTTTGGCTATTAATTTTTTCAAGACACAGAGTCAACTTGTCCTTTTTTCGATCCAGTAAAAAACTTTTTGAAATCTTAATATTCGTGATAAACAAGAGGGAATTCTCAATAGCCGCGGTACTTGAAATTCTTTTAGGCAGGATTAGATTACATTTTCTTTTCATTAACTGTATTTTTGTGCGCCAGCAATATCAAGCGTAATAGGTGCGGAATGGTCTAAAAAAGCGAGAACAACTTTCAGAATTTAAAAATTCTTTCTGGTCGCGTAGAAATAGGCTAAAACGATCGCCTATCTCCTGACTTTCAAGAAAATCAAAGGAAAGATTCGGAATGCTTTGATTTTAGTAAATATTAGAGTTATTTTATTTCCAATGATGTTATTAATCAATTTCAATGCATAATTAGTCTAAGAATAAACATGTTTCTAGTTTTCATTAGTACGTCTTCAATCTCAATGTCCAAATCTTATAACGAAACACTCTCTTCAGGACACATTTCCATTCATTTTGGATCTTCAAGCAATCCCCGCAACATTTCTGGATAAGATGGACACACTTACTTTAGAACTCTATTACACACAAGACAATATACTTGTAAAGCTCTCAGTTGTGTTTCCCCAGGCTCAACTAGTTTTTCTCCATTGATACCATTCTTTGGAAAAATCATTGAGTGACATCTGCTCAATGTCCAGGATCGCACAAATTTTCTTCAATTTTTCAAGATTGGTTAATGCACTACCAGAAAAACCTATTTCAACATTAGAGGACGATTCATCATCTGAGCTGCCATCTAATCCATCAATGAACCTCTCTCGACTAGCTCCCCTAAGCGCTGATCGTCTGGTCATCTTTCTCTTTTTTTACTGGTTTTTGGATCTGTTGCGCTACTTCACGTCTAATTTGGGGGATGACATGGCAATGTTTTGCTGTACATATAGCTGGAGGATCACAATATAAACACATTTCACAGCTTTTGCAGCTTTCTTTCTTTTTCTATTTATATTCTTCACATGATTCTGGCATTTTCGTAACTTTGGTCATACTTGCGCTGCGCAAAAATATAAAACTGATTTTGAAACAGCTGAATCTTTTAGATACGGCAGTGTTATCCAGTTTTTGTAATATTTTTTCGTGCAATAAATGATTCAAAAATGTATTTTTTTTCGGCGAAAAAACTGTAATTTTGGGTGGATTTCCGTTTGACTATTGAATTATTCTTTTAAGTCAGATATGCGTAAAATAA